GCCGAGCCAGATTTACTTATAATTATCATCAATTAAAATTAAACAGGCTACTTAATTTTCTGTTAATTAAAAATAGTACATTTGAAGGGCTGTACTGCTACTGAAGAAACAAATTGATTAAGAATAAGTTTGCTTATTATTGCTTTCACTTTGGGGATGATACCAAATTGATTAGTATTTTTGACAGTGACAAAGCTAATATAAATATAAACCAGCAGTAAAACAACTAGCTATATATCAACCAGTAGCACTATGTTATTAGACACAAGCACATATTACTATATGCAAATACTAATCTGAATACAATATTTTATAAAGTATTCATAAGTAATAAACAGTAACATACATTGAAAGATGCTTGGCCTGAACAGTCTATTTCCTTTTGCTTGTAGAAAAGCTTCTGGCGGAGTCACAATAACTCTACAAAGGATTAAAAAAAAAAGATAATAGTTACAAAAACAGACTCAAATAAAAAAAAATCTTAATTGGTTCTATTCAGAATTTATTCTGATTCAATAAATTTAGAAAATATGCATGTTAAGTTCTTTAAAATAATGCATTAAAATACACATACTTGTTAAACTATCTATACATAATATAATCAAATCTTACAATAGACTTATATTTTCTTTTAAGGAATATTCCATAGATTTGAGCATTTCAATTTATTAAATATCAACTAAGGATAGAAATATTTTCATTCTATATGATAGAAATTTAAAAACTAATGCAATGGCCCAGTCTCCATGTTTTCTTTGTTCAATCAATTTGGTAAACAATCTGGCCTATCTCTTCAACGTTATTTCATAGTTATTTATTAGTTTTGTGCTTCTTTAAACCTTCATGCTTTTCTTTCTGCTTAATATAATTTTATTCTCTTTTTTACTTTGCCTGGTTAATTTTTATTCATCCTTCAAATTTTAGTTCAGGCATTATTTCCTACAATCAGCCTTCCCTGATCTCTAGTCAAGGTTAACTTCTCCTTGTATATGCTATTATAGGTAGTACTATGAATAAACTTCTATTATACTATTCATTACACTGTATTGAAATTACAGGTTTATAAGTGTATCTTTTCCTCTAGACTAAGTTCTCTATGAACGTATAGACTTTGTTTCTGTTATCTCCATATATTAATAGTAGCTGCTTAATAACTGCTTATTGAACAGAAATGAGTGGAGAAAAGGGGAAGCATCTTATTCTCAATGAAGCTAAGGAGAGTCATGCTTTTAGTAGGAAAGATTTCCATTTTATGGGCATATTGCTGTGATGAGATTTTACCTCAGGTTGTATTAATATTTCCAAAGCTGAAGGCATAAAGGGAAACAGAAATGTCATGTTGTAGAATGACACATAATTTTGCTTAACTTATTTTATCAACAGATTTATCTCTTTTTTTTTATTAAATCATTAGCTGTGTCCATAATTGCAATCATGGGGTACAATGTGCTGTGTTTTTTTTTGGCGGGGCTGGTTTTGAACCTACCACCTCTGGCATATGGGGCTGGCGCCTTACTCTTTTGAGCCACTGGCGCTGCCCACAATGTGCTGGTTTTATATACAATTTGAAATATTTTCTTTTTTCTTTTTTCTTTTTTTTTTGAGACGGAGCCTCAAGCTATCCCCCTGGGTAGGGTGCCATGGCATCACAGTTCACAGCAACCTCCAACTCCTGGGCTCAAGCGAGTCTCCTGCCTCAGCCTCCCAAGTAGCTGGGACTACAGGCACCCGCCACAACGCCTGGCCATTTTTTTGGTTGCAGCTGTCATTGTTGTTTTGGTGGGCCCGGGATGGATTCGAACCTACCACCTTAAGTGTATGTGGCTGGCACCTTAGTCACTTAAGCGACAGGCACCAAGCCTTCAGTGTTAATTTTTGAATGAGTTGATATATTTTGGCTAAATTTTAAAACCTAACAGAAAGCACATAGCATCTCTTAAGCTGACTATCTACCACTTGAATTAAAATGGTGGTTGGATATAAGCTCTTAGATGGTTATATTTATTTACTGTTTCTGTACCAACAGTGATCAACATAATGGAGTTGTCAGCCTATGATTTAAAATACTATGATTAAAATGTTCAAGGGTGGCACCTGTGGCTCAAAAGAGTAGGGCGCTGGCCCCATATGCCAGAGGTAGCAGGTTCAAACCCAGCCCTGGCCAAAAACTGAAAAAAAAAAAAAAGATTAATATGTTCAAGAAGACAGAGAAAAAAATGGTTAAATAAAGAGAACATGTAAAAAATGAATCAAGTGAATAGTTGAATGTAAGAACTATGGTACTGTAAATAATACATTTCATATTTGTTCCTGGTTCTTGGCACAGAGCTTCAGAAACCTTTGGAGTTTTCTGAGTGATAGGATCACTTTTGTTACTCTAATGAGGTGACTGGTAGTGGGCTCCTAGATAGCTTCTGAATGGAGACTTGTCACTAGAAAGATCAACCAAGTAATTTGAAGGTTGGAATGCTTGGTTAGCTCAAACTCTAGGAGAGGACAGAGGCTGGATACTGATGTCAATAACTTGGCCAATGATTCAACCAATCATGCTTACATAATGAAATATTTTAAAAAATGCTCTGGACAGCAAGGCTTGGTAGAGCTCTGTGGTTAGTGAACATAGTTATGTGGATTCCATGAGGAGGACACAGATGCTCTGAATTCATTTTCAGACCTTACCCTGTGTGTTACCTTATTTGGCTCTTCCTGATCTGTATTGAATTTTTTTTTTTTGAGACATAGTCTCATTATGTTGCCTTGGGTAGAGTGCCATAGTGTCACAGCTCACAGCAACCTCCAATTGGGCTTAAGCGATTCTCTTGCCTTAGCTTCCTAAGTAGCTGGGACAACAGGTGCCTGCCACAATGCCTGGCTATTTTTGTTGTTGTTGCAGTTGTCATTGTTGTTTTAGCTGGACCGGGCCAGGTTTGAACCTGCTTGGTTTATGTGGCCGATGCCCTACCCACTGAGCTAAGAGTGCCACCCTGATCTATATTCTTAACAATAAAAAAGTGATTGTAATGGTAATACTAAGTTCTGTGAGTTATTCTCATGAATTATTCAGCCTAGGAGTCAGGGAAACCCCTGAATTTGTTGCCAGTTGATTCAAAGTACAGATGGTTTGGGAAAAGTGTGGCTGGAATCTGAAGTAAGGAAAATCTTATGGATGAATGAGCTCTTAAGCCTGTGGAGTCTGATGCTAACTCTGGGTAGTTAGTGTCAGCCCAGCTGAAATGGAAACAGAACAAAAAACTAAATGAACTCAACTGATGATAGGTTTAATAGTAGATTGACTATAGTAAAAGAGTAAATAGGTTAATAGAAAGTTTCCAAACTGAAGCTGAGAATCAAAAAATAATTCCATATATGTGTATATGTCAGATGAGCATATATATATGAATAATACAGAATACAGTATAATAAATATTTGTTCACAGAATTACTATCATACATGTAACTGGAATCACAGAGAGAGAGGAGGTAATGGAACGGAAATAATATTTGAAGAGATAATGGCTGATCATCTTCCTAACAGATTAAATAAATTAATCTATACATTCAAAAAGCCCAGTAATCCCAAAATAGTATAAAACAAAGAAAGATACTTCTTTTTTTTTTTTTTTTTTTTTGAGACAGAGCCTCAAACTGTCCCCCTGGGTAGGGTGCCATGGCATCACAGTTCACAGCAACCTCCAACTCCTGGGCTCAAGTGAGTCTCCTGCCTCTGCCTCCCAAGTAGCTGGGACCACAGGTGCCCGCCACAATGCCCGGCTATTTTTTGGTTGCAGCCGTCATTGTTGTTTGGCGGCCTGGGCTGGATTCGAACCCACCACCTTAGGTGTATGTGGCTGGCACCTTAGCCACTTGAGCCACAGGCGCCAAGCCAGAAAAATACTTCTTAATACATCATATTTAAACCACTGAAAATTACAGACAGAGAAAATATTGAAAGCACTTATTGATAAAGGATACAATACTTTTGAAGGAGTAATTTATATCTGCCTGACTTTTCAACAAAGATAGTGGAAACAATAAAACCATAGAATTATACATTTAAAGTGCTGAAAGTAAAAACAAAATAAAACAAAACTCTGCAACCTAGAATTCTGTGTACCAGGAAAATACCATTTGGAAATAAAAGTGAAATAAAGATATTTTCAGACAAAGACTGAGAGACTGTGTCATTAGCAAGCCACATTGAAATAAATTCTATAGTCAAAAGGAAAATAATGCCAGAGAAAAGCACAGAGATATAAGGTAGGAATGAAGAGCATAGAAAACAATCATCACATGCCTAAACATAAGGGAATACTAACCATACGATACTAATAATATCTCTTAGAGCTTGAAAGATATGTAGAGTTAAACCATAAGATAAAAATAGTGAAAATAGGGATGAATGAAGTGCTCAAAGGTTCTAGCATTTTTCAGGAAAATGGTATAATTTTTGTATGTAACTATAACAAGTCAAATATGCATGCTTTAAGGGAACCACTAAGTAACATAGGTAACCACGAAATGTGCAACTATCAAAATAAAAAAGGAAAAATTGAATAATGAAAACCATTTGATTAAACGAACACTATGATGATTGCTATAAACACAACTATATCATCAATTCCACTAAATGTGAAAGGAATATGTAAGTCAAAGACTAAAACTGGCACATTGGATTAAAAAACAACAATATGCTACTTAATGGAGACAACTTTAAATATAAAGACACGAAGAGGTTCAAAGTAAAATGAATGGGAAATATATGGCACGCAAACGCTAATCAAAATAAAACTGGTATAGGCTCGGTGCCTATAGCTCAAGTGGCTAGGGCACCAGCCACATACACCAGATCTGGTGGGTTTGAATCCAGTCTGGGCCTGCCAAACAACAATGACAACTACAACCAAAAAATAGCCGGGTGTTGTGGCAGGCGCCTATAGTCCCAGCTACTTGGGAGGCTGAGGAATCACTTAAGCCCAAGAGTTGCAGGTTTCTGTGAGCTGTAACGTCACAGCACTCTACCCAGGGCAACATAGTGAGACTCTATCTCAAAAAAAAAAAAAATTAAACAAAATAAAACTGGGGTGGCGCTTGTGGCTCAAAGGAATAGGGCGCCAGCCCCATATGCTGGAGGTGGTAGGTTCAAGACCAGCCCCAACCAAAAACGGCAAATAAATAAATAAATAAAACTGGTATAGGTATATTAATATTAGGCAAAGTAGACTCTACGGCACAAAGCATTGTGAGAGGTAAAGATTTCATAATAACAAAGCAGTCAATGCATTACAAAGACATTAGAATCCTATATCTGTATAGCCATGTTATGCCAAAATACATGAAACAAAAAACTTATAGAACTAAAAGGAGGTATAAATCCACAGTCATAGTGAAAAATTTTAACGTATCTGTCTCAATTAGCTGATGGAAAAAGCAGACAAAAAATTAGTAAAGATAAAAAAGAGAAAAGAAAAGATCAACATGATTAACATGCTTAGACCTAGATGACACATATTGAAAAGTGCATCCAACAATGACAAAACTCATATTCTTTTCAGGCACATATGAAATATTTATTAAAATTGGCCATCTTTCTTAAGAAGGTTTTCAATAAATTGCAAAGACAAAAATTATTTAGAATATTTTCTTTCTCCAGAGCGCAGATATATTGAAATAAATTTTAAAAAGGTAACTAGAGCCTCAGCGCCTATGGCTCAAGTGGCTAAGGCACCAGCCACATACACCTAAGGTGGCAGGGTCGAATCTAGCCCGGGCCTGCCAAACAACGACAGCTGCAACCAAAAAAAAACAGCCGGGCATTGCGGCGGGTGCCTGTGGTCCCAGCTACTTGGGAG